TACTCCTGCATCATTATCCTGAGAAAGGGAGACTTAGGATCCTACCGCAGTTTGAAGGGAACAGTCACTGCAGGTTTATCTGTAAGAGCTCCACACTGAAAACAGTGCAGATGCCTTTCAGCGGGTAAGCAATCTAGGAAATACCCATGTCAGAGAATATGGCTGAGCAAGGAAAAAGGAATTAATGTGTAAAACCTGAATTATGTTAAGTGAAAAAGCTGACCCCTAGAGGTTTCGCATGACGTGATTACACTTATTTCCTAAAATGACAGTCATAGGAAAGAACAGACTTGCAATTGTGCAGATTAAGAAAAGGGTAAAAGCAGAAGTACAATGGTGTTTTTGAAGCAGGGCAAGCTGAGGGACACCTGTAGTGATGGACAGAACCTTGGGCTACATCTGGGTTACTGATGTCCTGCGTGGGACATAGTTTTTCCAGATGTTTCTATGGAAGAAACCCGAATAAATACCATGAATGTCTGTGTAGTTAAAAAAAAAAAAATGAAACTGCAATTATTGTGTCTCAAAATAAAGAATTTAAAAGAGAAAATAAAAATTGGATCAATGCAATTTATAACAGTGAAATACTATGAATATTAACATTTTGAAACTATTAACATAGCAAAAAGGAACAAAAATTATTAAGTAATTTTATTTACTTATTTTGGAAGGAAACTATCCAAATCATTCACTATACTCACAATTTTTTTAAAAAAAGAATATAATTATCTAAAAATCATTGATAGAATTCAGTAGCTAATTATAACAAAAATCAAAATAAAATGAACATAGAAAGGAAGTTATCTAAGTGTAGTATATATTATTTGTTAAAAACTAACAATATTTTAAAGACCAAAATATTACGTGTATTTCCACTAAAATGAAGTATTGGATGGTAACTTGTTATTGCCATATTATTTGCCCCTGTTACTTACTATAGCTTTAATGATTTTAAAAATCTTAATAAAGCAGTAAGAAGAAAGAAGGAGCAAAAACATCAGTTGGAATAAGAACAGATATGGGAGAATAGAATGAAGAAGAAAGACAAGAAATACTTGGCAGTGTTTTGGGGAAAAAAACTAACTCAAATATGGCACAGCTATAAAGAAAGATAAACTTAACGATGTTTATAGGTAAATGGTTGCAACTTGAGAATCATACTTACAGGTGAAATAAATCCGTGTAAATATAGTATTGTCTCCCTAGTGTAAAAATCCTGAAAAAGGGTAAATAAGAACCAAAATGTACAATAGATACTATGAAATTGAAAGGGAAAGAAAGTGTTTGAAAGGAAAAAACAATTGGGATAGAAGAAATGAGAAAAGAAAGAGGGGAAAGATTACATATATATATACACACACACAAGATAGATAACTATACTATTAACTTGTTAGTTCATCAAAAAGAAGTTTGTGCTTTCATTGTTTGTTTGATCATATTTTTTTGTGCCTAAATCTTGTAATCTGAACAACTACTCTGAAGATAGCAATATGCAATATATTAACTAGTTTTACATAGCTAAAATAATTGTTACTTTGCTTTTAAATTCTCTATCATCATTTTGATCCTTTTGCTATTACTGTTTTTAAAATAAAAAAAGAAATAAAACTTGTAACTCACTCTTTTCATGGATGGACACACATCTAGCAGAGTGTGTGTAGGGAAGGAGAAAAAGAAATACACTAGAATTGAAGAAAGAATATTGAATAACAGAATACAATGCAATGACTAAATATTAACTAAGTTTCAAAACTACTATTGTTGTCTGTACTCATAACTGTGATTTTGTAAATGAGAAATTACAATGGTGGCAAAGCTGTGAATTGCTAAAGAATAAATTTAATGCCTGCTAGTCCTTCAGAGACAGAGAGGTCAATAAGTGGCTGTCTTATAAATTAACAAATGTAAAAAGTAAGATGTAACTCCCACAGTAAAACTCAGGATACTCATGCAATCTGGGTTTGTGGCAGACAGAAACTATCAAATAAAGAGGTATATATTTGGTCAAAGGACATTAAAAATGTACAACAAAAGTAGATTTTAATGTGTTAAGAAAGCTCTAAGAAGCACATTTAACTTGTGGATTCATGTATGTTACTGCCATATTTTAAAAAAAGAATTAGTATTTCTTTTTTTTTATTTGATACTGCAGATTGAGACTAGAGCCTTCACACTGAGCTACAGACCCAGTGCCCACCTCTATTTCATTTTTAATAAAAAAAACTTTTTTTGAGACTGGTTCCTATTAAGTTAAAGCTATCCAAAATGAGCTCAAATTTAAAATTATCCTGCCTCAGCCTCCCAGAATGCTGAGATATAAAAGAGTCACTTTTACAATAAACAATTGCATATCTAGTAGTGCATGTGATAATGTGAGCATTATCACATATTAGGATTCAGTTTCCTTATAACTTTGTTCCTTTTTGACTTATTTCTTTACCAATAACTGTTTCACACAGGATGAAAGTCAAAATTGGTATCTTTATGTTCTAGAGTTTCACCACCACCAGCTGGCCTTCAAATTTATCGTGGTCAGAACTGTCCACTTGAGAGACAGAGGTTCACTCATTGTACTTGAAGGAGATTGTCGCAGGCTTACTTAAAAGGCACCACTTACTTCTGAATTGAACTTCCAATTATATATCCACTACATAAAAGAGACTCGGGCTTCTCTAGATTCTTTCCTTGGATAGTGGATAAGTCAATAAGCTGAAGATTATGGTTATATATGTGGTAACTAATCATAAATATTTACTGGGTAACTTCTACGTGTACCACATTGTATTAACTTCTTGATTTCATAACCTTTCAGTATATTTTTGTTACAGTGATTCCCATGACAGAATCATCTGTTACTAATAAGGCTTTTTTGTCTGATTTATTAAAAAATAGTATACATGTATAACACTAGGACAATAGAATATTTAATATACTCAAAAGAAGTTGAAATAAATCACACAACTGTCCCTTGGACAAGCTAAATGAGAAATTTCTAAATATAGAAGAGTTTAGAAAAGACAAAGTTCTCTTATCAGATTTCAAGACTTCCTGTAAATTGGTGTGATTAGTTAGAATGGTTTTGCCATAAAGACATGCAAATAGCCATCTCCTCCCTCCAGTGCATTCACAGAAGTTGGCATATCACAGGAGTGACACTGCAAATCAGGAGAGGGAAGAAGTACTCTTAAACGGGCAGACTGTCAGTAAATAGCAAGAAGAAAGTGGTAAGTGGAATAGCAAACCTGCAATTATATACCAGCCTTACACACTCTGTAAAATGAATTGACAACCTTCTGATAGATTATAGACCTAAATTATGAAAATCCACAGTTTAAAATATTTGAAAGAAAATACAAGAGAGTAGCTGGATGACATTAGGATCAAGGAAGAATTTTTAACACAAATGAAACATAGTCCATGAAGAAAAACTGGAAAATTTAGTTACACTTAAAATATCTAATGACTTAAGTGTCCATAAATAAAAATTAAAGACAATAAAAAATAACCACAATATACAAAGAGAGAACTCATCAAAGAGAAAATGTCTTTTTATATGCAAAGATGTTCAAACTCCCAGCAATCTGAGAAATGTACCCATAAATCAGCTAAATTTTAGAGCCTGATTATATCACCCACTGGTAAAACTGTGTGGTGAATAATTCTGACATTCCTTGTAGGAATATAAATTAGCCCAATTATCTTAAAGGGCAATTTCCCAATTATAAAGTCCAAGCTGTATATAGAATGGCGCTTTGCCCTCCATGTTAACCTTGACCAGGCTGTCCTACATAGGGGAAATGACAGGGAAAAGGGTCACTGTGGTACTGCTGTGTGGGACAGTGAAAATGAGAGCTATGGGCCCAGCAAAACTGTCGTCAGAGACACACATAAGTAAGTTCTGGTTTAGATTTACAGAGTAGTGGACTGCAGAGAAACAGAACCGATGTAAACTATATGTAGAATTATACAAAGGAACTTATTGGGTGGGCTTGCAGGACCAGAAGCAGCAGCATCACTGGCAGTCTGTGAAATCGGGGATCCAAAATGGTGCTCTGTGTGATGGGCCTTGAAAGGATCCAGGGACAGTGCAAAGCGGAAGGCCTGGAAATTCATTGTGGTCACTACTGAGTGTGTGTCAGGGTGTCAAAGAGCCTGCTCCGAAAGACTGAAAAGTGTGCCCTGGGAGGCTGAAGAAAATGGAGACCAAAGCCCTCCCCAGAAGAGGACCTTCCTCTCCCTTCCCTCTTTATTCCTCTGGCTCCACGCCTGGGGGTGGTGGGAGTGGGTCTTCCTTCTGAGTTTGCGGGCCTTCGTGCCAGTCACCCACAGACAGACACACCTACATCTTTGCTAGCCTGCTGGACGGTTCTTAAATAAGTCAGGCTCACCTATCACAGTTAACAAGCACACTTTACAATGGAAGGATTGGTTGGAGGAAATGATAAAGAGTGAAGAAAAAGCTATCAAAATTGCTAACTCTTTAAGATCAGGTGAACACAACAAGCCACCAAGTGACATGCTGAGTTTGATGCGATTCTCAGAAAAGCTGTGTGCCACCTGAAACTGGTAAAAGCATAGTTTATAGATGTTTTCTTGGATGAAATACTCTTGGGATACCACAGACTGGCTTCAGTTTCATGTGGCATTTTCAAAAGCAGCAGAAGTCACTGAAGGTGGGATTTTAGTTGATCCAAATGTTTTATTCCTTACAAGAAGGGTGCTGAAGGGAAAAAGGGAAGACTTAAATGTTTTAAAAGTCAGGATGACGGGGACGTGGATACTATACATTAAATGACTTTCTTTGTATGTGTCATATTTTTCTTTTCCCCTTCTAGGAATTTACCTATGAAAAATAAAAGCTATATTCATAGAGATGTGTATGAACATATTTAGAACATCCCTATTCTGCATGGCTCTACACTTAATGCAAATGTCTGTCCGTGGAGTTATGATCTACCTATTGTGAAACGCTCCTCCCTGAGACAAGGCAATGAGCTACCGCTACACACAGCACGGAGAAGCTCATAAATGGCCTCTGCTGGGCTAAAAAAGGTGCAATAAAGCACAATTGTACAACTTCATACATATGCAATAGGGCCGGCTCCATAATCTAAGCAAAATGAAAGTCCAAAAGCAGAAAAAGCACCTGTTAAGATAATTATATATTTAAAGCTTTATTTCCCATGGTTTCGTTCTTGAATTATCATGGCATGGTTTTACTTGCTATTCAGTATCATCGTAACTTAGGAAGAGTGAAAACTAAAAAAAAAAAAAAAATTAAAGTTAGTATTAAACACTAATGTTTTAATTTTTGTATTTGCCATGCTAGTTTAAGTGCAAATCTAATTAACTTTTATGCGGAATAACAGAATGCACAGCAGTCATCTTAGCTGGCATGTGCTGTTACAATGCAATGCCTTCTTCTGGAAAATGTGTGTAAGATAGAATATTACTGCTCACAGGTCTGGAGGCCAGCACAGCTGGTGTCTGTTGAGATCTCTCTCTCTGCTTCAAAGCTGGCATCTTCTAGCTGTGTCCTTGTGTGGCAAAAAGGACAGGTATATTCTCTTGGGTCTGTCTCTCTCGCTCTTTTTTAATATTCTTATTTTATTTTAAATAGAGAAAACAAAAACAAAAAAGACAAAAACAAGAAACAAAAGAGGTCAACAAACAACAAAAATCCCCAAACAATAGCAATACAAACTTTCAAAACAAGATAATTAGGAATTTAACAATGGTCGTTATTTTGCATACTTACCTTCAAAAGGGTGGCTCAGATTCCCAGATATAGACATGCAAATTGATCTAATCATATGAGTATTAACCATTCTGTCCCAAGAACTAATAGAATTAGTAGTGCAATCATCTTATCTATCATATACATATACAAATTTACAGGTCTCTTTTATATTGATCCCATTTATTTGGCCTCCTGGCCCTTAACCTGACAGCTCCCCAACACCTACTCTCCTGACTGTGAATATCACTGTACTGGGGAGTAATTCACCATGTGAATTGTGAAGGGAAAAAACCATAGAACATGTTTTATGGTTCGTGAATGCAAATGGATTCAGTTATCATCCAAAAGTTGGAGGTGCCGTGGAAAGCTAACTGGGTTTTTTGCCATCCACCCTGCGTGCCCCTCCTACGCACACTCTACCTTTGGCTTAGTGAGTATGTAAAATCTGAAGGCAGTTCAACTTGCTGCATTTTCCTTTCTTTTTAAGCCATCATGTTCAACATAACCACTTGGCTGTGTGGGGTGTAGCCAAGGGAAGAATGGATAAATAGGATTCCTTGGTTTTGGGTATTTCTTAGCACACTGTTGCTTTCTTCTTTGTGTGAACCAAGTTTTGCTTGTGCTGGAGAGTGTGGCATCAGAGGCTGACACTAACATGCTTAGCTCACAGGAAGTCTCCCCAGCTGTCAATCGTTGCGTGGAATTCTGAGCTCACGAGACACCACCAAGGTAATGAGAAAGAACAGACACACGCATTGCTATTGTCCAACCAGACGGGACTTGCAAAACAAAATTCAATGACAAAGTTATTTTTTCTTTTTATTTTATTTGCACATTTTTGGTATACATAATAACACTCATCATAGGGAATTTACACCTGCACATAATTTAGCTTGCTTCTTTTTTCCCCATTGCCCTCTCCTCCCCTTAATCCCCCTTTTCCCTCCTTATTTATAAAAGGTTTGTTTCCATCTTGTACTCAAGATGTCAATAATTAGCAAAGCATAAAAACAAATGTGAAGCCCTTTCCAATACACTTTCTAGGTGAGATCAAAGATACAGTGAATGTTTAGAAAACTTTATTACACTAAAAGCACATCACCATTTAATTCTACCCTAGAAATATCCCCTTGCTTCAGATATATACCCTGTCATTTTTATCACATTCTGACGTAGTTTTGCAAGATCGCTTTCAGGAGTGGTGTTTTTAGTTGTGCTGTTGTTGCTGCCTCGGTGTCATAAATCAAATATGAATGTTTACCTTTCATGCTTGGTTTGACTTTGGGAAGGACTCAGAAGTTGCACAGTGCAGGATATGGAGAATCAGGAGGATGAGCACACACTGTAATTGTTCTCTGAGTCTTTCTGTCAGATGCAGTGAGCTGCTGCATTTTCTATATTTATAATCGTACTTCATAAAGATACTTGTAAAAGAGGATTGAGAAAATTATGATGGTGGGAAAGTGTCTGAAGTGAGGGGGAGGATTTTGAGGTGATTAATGGAAATTTGTCTTTTATTTAATAATTTTTTTATTTAAGCATTCACCGTATATTTTGATCATCCCTGTATGTGTGCATGCATTTCTCACATCAACAAGCCTGAAATCTGTACAATTTACTACTTATAAATTGTAACCAGATAGATTAAAAGGACAATAAAAAATTATATCCTGTTCTTGAAACAAGTATTCAAGTGTAAAATTGCAAGATGTTTTTAAATTTTTTTTTTAATTGATTTTACTTTTCAGGTAAAGAATTACATACCAGAGAAAGCAGAAGAAACTTGCAAGATGTCAGTGTTATCCATTTGCTCCCAGTTCTTTGACCTACTTCAGTAGTAACTTTTAAGTGGCAAAACTAGTTTATAGTCACAGAGGATAATTTCTGTTTTATATATATATATATATATGAATGTATATAATACATAGGAAAGGTTATAAATGATTAATTTATTGTTTCAAATAATTGAAAAGTATTGTTTGATTATTTTATCTCTCACAGTATAGGCAATTTGCCTTCAGCTCAGAAGAAATTTACAGTCATTTTTCTGTACAAGAGTATAAACTCCAAAACTTTGATAGGGGTCATCGTATTTCAGGTCATTGTACTTTTACCTTTTTCATGTGTGTGCAATTTAGGGTGTTTCCTTCAGTTCTGTTAAAACCATAGCATTGAGAAGCAATGAAGTTTAATATACTGAGACTTTGTTATCACATCTGCAATGAAATAAAAACTTTAACATAATTTTTCACTCATCTTTCTATTTTCCAACTCACAAATTTTCAACAGAATGACATGCTAATTATTTTAACTTTCTGCTTAATTAATTAAGCAGAATGACACTGCTTAATTATTTCTCAGTTGACAATGTTTGACGGTACTTTATAAAGACCCTTATAAATACATTTTGAAAATGTTATTAGTGCATGTATGTAATAGATGATGTTTGTACTCCTTGTGGGAAGTTGGTGTATGTTTATAGCATGTCTTAATATCTTCATTTCTCCCTCCTTCTATCTGTAGACCCCCTTCCCATGTGAGAAAGATCTGTCTCCCTACTTCCAGTATTTGTCTTTTATTTTGATCTTTATTTAACATTTTGGTTTCTTATATCAGAGAAATCATGTTGTATTTTAATCTTATGTGTCTGATTTATTTCATTTTTAATTTTAGTCTTGTGTTATTGTTCAGAGCTAATCTCATTACTTTACTTGCTATACTTTGGAGTAAAAATGTTTTAAGAAAATATATATGGAAATGATCCAAGGCATAAAATGTTTTGTTAAAACCATATTGCATGAGGGGCTAGGTAGCCATCATCAACTACTACTTACTACTTTGTCTGCCCTGAATCCAAGTGTAGTTGAAATTGGGAATGACTGCTCCCTGATAGAGCAAAGTTGGCTTTATCAAGAGGAGAATGAAGTCAATTTACCAAGTCATTTCTGTAAGTTCATTCTACGTAATGTTCATAGAAATATAATTTTCTGTATTCAAGATATCTTGAATTTAAATTGATGGAGAAAATAAGCTGTTAAGCAAATTATATAACAACTAGAAACACTGTGGCTTCTGTATATGAAATCAATATTAAATAAATAACATTTTAAATAACAATATTAAATGACTTTTTGTTTGTTTGTTTGGTACTGAGAATTGAATCCAGGGTCTTTGCACTGAGCTATATACCCAACACTATTTTATTTTATTTTATTTTATTTTATTTTTCAGATTGGAGGAGGTCTCATTAAATAGCCCTGGTGGAGTTTGAATTTATGATTCTTCTGCATCAGCCTCCAGAGTGCCAGTACAGACAAGTAGACATCACCACACCCATCTTCCACTGGCATTCATAAACACTGTATGCAGCTGTGATATGTAAGTACCAACACATTTCTGCAGTTACTTCACCCAGGAAAACTGTGCATTATTTTTTTAATTTTATTTCTAAAGAGAGTAAAATTAAACCAAACAAAACAGATCATAAGATAACAATGTAAGAGACACAGATTTCAAAGCAAGACAACTGGAGATCTTCACTGTCTATCGTATTGTTACTTGTTTTCTTCCAAATAGTTGTCCATATCTACACATACAGTGAATTCATACCGAACAAAATAGTATAGAACTGATCAGAACAGGATAATGAAGGCATTTTATGTCTTTAAGACCAGACCATAGGGAGATCAATAATGGCGGCCATAGTGTCTCTTATTCTCTTCAAAATAGCTATCTATACCTTCATGTATGTTGAAATTAAAAAAAAAAAAAACAGATTCAAATCAATCTGAACAAAGAATAACAGTATTGCTGGATTTCACATCAAGACAGTACAGAATCATCACTGGGTACCTTAGTGTCTTTTTTTCCTTCAAAGTATCTGTTCATTTCATCATGCATTATATAATTGATTCTCATAAACTTTTTAGAAGTTTTATGCATGCATGACTCTTTACATATATAACTATCCTTTCTGTATTAGAGGGAAAAACAAAACAAACAAGACAGAACAAAACAAATTCATAGAAAAACATGAAATGAAAAAGACCTATAAACAACAATAGCAAAGATCCCAGAACAAAGACAATGTAGGTCCTCAAAACAAGGTGGTATGAACATAACTAGGGTTGCTATTTTACATACTGATCTTCAAGAGTTCCTCAGATCACCATACAATAATATGCACAATTGTTCCAATCCTATGAATGTTAACTATTTTGTTCCAGGAATTTATAGAGTTATTGATTCCTCATTTTCCCTAAGATATTATTTTTCCCCTTTAAGCAGATTTTTATCCTTCCACTATAATTATTGAGCTTTTTGTATCCTATGTGCTTTTACCATTTCTTACACTAGGGGAAACTATATGATATTTACACATGTGAGTTTGATTTATTTCACTTATGAGTATGGTCTCGGGTTACATCTATTTACTTATAAATATCTCAATGTGATCATTCTTTATAGCTGAGTTGTATTCCATTGTATAAAAATACCACAACTTTTTTATCCATTCCTCAGTTGATGGATACTTAGGTTGTTCCAAGATCTGGCTATTACAAGTTGTGCTGCTATAAACATGGGTGCACATATATCACTGTGGTATGATGTTTTCAATTATTCTGGGAATATGCCTAGAAGTATAATAGCTGGATCAAATGGAACTTTCAATCCCAGCTTTTTGATCAATCTCCAGACTGACCCCCACAGTGGTTGCACCAGTCTACACTCCCACTGACAGTGAAGAAAAGTTCCTTTTTCCCTGCAGCCTCTCCAGAATTTGTTGTTGGTAGTTTTCTTGATCCTTGCCATTCTTTCAAGAGTGAAATGGAATCTCAATGTGGTTTTAACTTGCATTTAT